AAAGAGAGAGGGGGTGCATGTGCAACCCGCTTATACTTTAATTTTGTATTACCATAAACTTTCCTTTTATGGAAAATTGATACTTTTGATCGAAAATATGAAAATAAAGGACGCCACAGGACTAAATTGGTTTTTTTATTAGGTAATTTAGCGGAGATGATGTCGGATTGGGAAAGGGCAGTGAATGCTTATGAATCTGCACTACGACATAATCCATATTCTATTACCGCATTATCTCACATAGCTTCTCTTTGCAGAGGAAGGGAACAATTCGGAAAGGTACAGATGAATGTAAAAAGCTGGATAGATGCTAATTAATTGCAGGCCGTTGAATACTTCAAAAGAATACTTGCCTTACAAGAAAATAATGGCGAAGCCTGGAGTGCATTAGGACACTGCTATCTTATGATGGATAACTTACAGGAAGCATATCAAGCATATCAACAAGCATTATATCATTTACAGAACCCAAAAGATCCTAAATTATGGTATGGTATTGGTATTCTTTATGATCGCTACGGTTCAATTGAACATGCAGAAGAAGCGTTTTCTGCTGTATTAAAGATGGATCCAAATTTTGAAAAGGCAAATGAAATTTACTTTAGATTGGGTATCATTTATAAACAACAACAGAAATATGACCTATCACTACAAGTAAGTATAGTTACTTTTAAAGTTCAATATGACTCATATCTATCAAGTGCTTTCGTTATATCCTGCGTAATCCACCAAAACCACTCACAGAGATCGATATTTGGTTCCAAACTGGACATGTCTATGAACAACAAAAAGAATATGACTTGGCTAAAGAAGCGTATGAAAGAGTACTAACAGAGAATTCGGATCATGCTAAAGTACTGCAGCAGTTGGGTTGGTTATACCATCAACAAAACACGAGCTTCTGCAATCAATCCATGGCTATTCAATACTTGACGAGATCTTTGAAATCAGACAGTACAGATGCACAGTCATGGTATTTGCTTGGAAGGTGCTATATGGTGGAGCAGAATTACAACAAAGCGTACGAAGCTTATCAGCAAGCAGTCTATCGTGATGCGCGTAACCCAACCTTTTGGTGTTCCATTGGTGTATTGTATTATCAAATTAATCAATACCGTGATGCGCTTGATGCTTACAGCAGAGCTATTCGACTTAACCCATATATTAGCGAAGTTTGGTACGACTTGGGTACCTTGTATGAATCATGTAATAATCAAATACAAGATGCTCTGGACGCATATCAGCGCGCAGCTGAATTAGACCCAACCAATCCTCATATCAAGCAAAGATTAGAATTGTTAAGAAAGACCAGCCCTAATGCTGCTAGAAATAACCATAATCAGCCTATACCTCAGGATGTTAGTAATCCATACCAATACCATAATCATCATCAACAACAGCAGCAACAACAGCAGCATCAACATCAGCAACAACAACAACAACAACAACAACAGCAGCAGCAGCAACATCAACAGCAACAGCATCACCATCATTCACTACCGTCTTCTCTTCCTCCTCAACCACATCAACCACCACAGCCCTCACCTACAAACAATAGAATCCCAAGAGATCTTCCTTTACCTCCTCAGCAAAACAGCTATTACTCGTATAATGATGTTCGTATACCTGATATCAACAGACATACTACAAACAATATAAGATCGCCCATTCCAACTCAGAATAAACTATCACCTACACCCCCTCCTTCATCAAAACTTCCATTTGAAGAGCCAAGAAGAACGTCTACTCTTTATGACGCAGAAAAGGCAAAACCTCCCCAACTACCTCCTCCTAATTTTCGTCAACAAAACAATAGCCCTACCGAAAGTAGTGCTGCCGATACACTCATGAGTATGTCTCAACAAAAGGCATCTTATATACCTCCCAAGAGACCTTTAGAAATGGCAGACTCAGACTCAGATGAAGAAAAGAAACCAAGGTTGGATTCACCTAAAAAAGCATCGCCTCCTACGGCTAAAGACACGATTTCAGTTTCTTAATAAAAAAAAAAAAGAAAAAAGAAAAAGGTTTATTTTTATTTAGACAGGAACCAGTGTTATCTGATGATTCACGAGTTCCCTTTTAAGGTTAGATATTTGTTGTGAAAATTTTTCTCTATCTTTTGTACCAAGTGTCCATCCAGAGCCTTCCATCAAGTTACTCAACAGCTATAAAAGGAAAATGAATCTTGTGTGTACATCTCGGCAAAATAAAACAAACGTTACCTTGGTTACATATTCTCGTCGTTCGGGTAACTGTTGCATGATCACTTGATTTGTGTATTTTGAAGCAAACTTTAAAGAAGTGTAAACATTCAAGTGTAACAATAGATGGATGACTTACATCACGTTCAAGTAACACAAGCGTATATAGCGGTCTTGACAGCTGCCACTGATCATTATTATCGTCAAATAAAATCATGCCAAATACACTAGTGAGCATTCGAGGTAAGACTTGAGGGAACTGAGTAAAGTAATTCATAACAAGTGTATGGCTCGGTCTCCTCTTCTTCATCTCTTTCTCTTTGGGCTGTGCTCTTTCTCTTTCCTGAACAACAAAGGTGAGGATGTTGTTCAAGGTGGTACATGCATGTGTACGAATGTACGGGTCACTTGACTCAATCCCTATTTCACATGCTTCTAAAATATAGAGAAATGCCTCTGCAGGCAGATTAGGGTCTATCATCATTTGCTCGTTCGAAAATTCATCCATCATGAGAAAGAAGGCTCTTGTCAATTTAGGAAAATTCTATTTATAGATATAAGTGCCTGTGGTTTATAAATAGTAAGCAATAGTATTACCATCATGTCATTCAGGGGTATATTGAGTATCATTTGAAACATCATGCTAAATGCGTCACTAATCGCCTTATCTTGATATAACCAGAACACGCCAAAGTTGATGTATTTACCGCCTAAGCACCTTGCGAGTATATTAAAACATATAGTTATGCCTTTGTACCTATCGTCACGTTAGATGTTATTTCAATTTTTTTCCTTTTTCCTATTTACTTTGCTGCATATTTTTTTCTATCGTCCGTCACGTGCTGTGTTATCGCCTGTTGCCCATAGCTGCATATCAACTGACTAGCATCACGGAACAAGAGAACACCGTTCGGCGAAGAGATGTCCAAATTCAACCGCTGGCTTTTGTTTTGCACAAGTTCTCCAACAAACTTGAGTAATGGATAGGTCAATGGATCCGGTGACCAGGCTTCAACGGCTCTTAATAAAATCGGCATATAATCTGGATAGAACCAGTCAAAGAATAATAAAAAGCTGCGACGACTTTGAATGGGTTCAATGAATCCTCTTAAATCAAGAAACAGATCAATGATGGCGCGCTGTTTTTCGTTTGTGAGAGCTATGAACAATATATTTAGGTTGTTTACCTGAACTTGAGGCTGCTGAAACTCCTCTCTTGTAGAAAGCAGCGATAACTCATTCAGTCTGTCTTCAAACGGTTTCATAAACTCATAAAACTCGGCTTCATTATTATCCTCCGCAAACAAGATCTTGCAAAGTATTTGATAGTAAAGCATGCGATTTCTTTGATGTTTATCAGAATTGTGAAGAAAGGTGAATTCGGTCGATAAGTGATTTTGCATTAACAGTGTCATTGATTCAATCTTTCGTAGACTCTTTAAGGCACTGTATCCACTTGCAAGTTCATTGAATAAGTCGAGTGTTTTCCATATTACACGAGTATCCTCACCCCAGCACTGTAAGTTGGTGATACTATGTATCATGGTTAGTTTCCTTCCCTCTTTTTTATTTTACGCATGATCAAATTGAGCATATCCGATTGATCTTCAATTCCAAATACTTCATTTGGCTTCTTGTAAACCTCCTTTGCATTTGTTTCGCCCACGTACGACCGTCTATACTGAGAGAAAAAGTAGACGAGTGCAGTATCCAGTCTTTTGCTCAAAAAGACACGATTATCTTGAACAAGAGCTTGATTTGTTTCCATCAGTTGGATCACCTTTGTAATCAATTCACCATCTGCTGCATCACTTTCATCTGAGCTAAGATATGCCTACACTATATATAAGTTTCCCTCCTTTCTGCATGTTTCATGAACACTTACAGGTCGATTGCCAATGAACACTGCCATAAAGTAGACAAGCCAAGCAAATTTGGATTCATACATATCAATAGCCTCTTTCATACTCTCCTGATTCACACCAGCCATGCTCGCTTGACTAATGAATTCCTGATAGTCGGCGGCAATGGGATCAAAGAGCTCGATGAGAACAGCACATGACTGCTCATATTGACACCTTGCAATTTGTCCAAACATACTTAGTGATTCTACCAAGCTATCTTCTTCCTCTAGCGGATTCTCATCCCACATCATCTCACCCCCCACCGCAGCAAGATGCGTGGTCATGAACGTCCTTACGAGCTGCACTGTAATTTCCTGAAGCTTCTTGACCGTCTTTTCTCCTAGCTGCTGGAAATAGCTCATACCTTCCACAATCTTGTACCAGAATCGAAGCAGATGGAAGCTAGTGTTTGTCTGAAACGCATTCTGTGTAAAAGTGCCGACAAGTTCGATCCATTCGATGTATCCAGGCATCTCTGCCAGATCATTCAAGGTAACTGCCGTTCTGAACCGTTGCAGCAATCGACAAAATCCGTTATAACAGTCGGCATCGTCTATATGTCGCAGACTGAGGATGATGTTGCGTATGCCTTGCATGATGGTCGTAATGAACTTGGTGCGCTCGTCTTCTCCGCTAAACATGCCCTTACGTGTGGCCACGATCTGAACAAGACAGTCCATGGCCTTTTTGGCGTGTGCTGGTTGAAAGACATCGTATGCTTTGAAGAAGGTAGGAAGAAATTCATCATTTTCGACCAAGGATCTCCATGTGGACGGAATCTAGGGATCATGAGTCCCTTTTTTTCTTTTTCTTTTTTTTTTTCCTTGTTACCTGAATGGTGCCTGTCTCTTCACCTGATTCATCTACGGTTGTACCAGAAAAATCATAGAGTAAGCATTTGCAAAGTAAGTCCAATGTGGCGTCTTTTGTTCGATCCTCTTGTCCAGCTTATTTTTTTTTTTTTTTGTGCATGAGTAACAAAGAATACATACACACACAAAATACTTACCTAATTCAAATGGTATCGATCTTGAAACCAGACTCTTTAATAATTCAAATGCGTTCTTAAAGATATCAAACAGTTGTGTATCCCTTAGTCCCGCAGCTGTTTATCCGGAATTGTGTAAGCAAAATCATATGGAAAGACACATACACACGTACTTACATGCTTTTCTAAACTTGGCAGCGTATTTAGGTACCACAGTCGAATTCATATCTTGAACGATCACTGCTAATATTTGTAATCCAACAATACGGTGTTCAGCAGATGCCTGATATTTGTATTAGAATAAAGATACAAAACTATATCATGTGTACCTGGAGGAATTGTGTCATATCTTTATAGACTTGCTGATACTCTTCATGATCCAACCATCCAAATCTTGTTAACAAAGCCAGTACACTTGCCAACTGATTTATCACAAAAGGTTGCAAGTCATAATGAATAAAAGCATACTCTAACAAAAATGTACCTACGACACAAAAAAAAATCAATGCATGATTTTATAGTTGATAGAGAATAATTTTACGTAATTGAATTTTGGTGTCTCTATCAAATAAAGTGAACTGGGCCAAGACCAACTGTTTAAGCCTTGATAAGGCAAACGTTTGGACATACGGGTTGGGTGAGTTCTCTAGTAAAATTCTTAAAGCGTTGGCTGTATCAGTGGGTGTACGTATACCAAACGTAGGTAGGTTGTCAAGTCCCGGGTTATTCGTGGAAGAGTCAGAAAAGGTGGGGAAACTAGCTTCCAACACACGTTGAACTTGTTCTCCTTCAGTTGGACTTTTGGGATTATAAAGTTGTTCACATAATGACGAAAAGTATATGATTCGCTCATCTTGTCCTGACATGCTTGGTTTCAAAAAAAAGAAAAGAAAAAGAAAAAAAAATTATGTGTAGCCCACACGAAAAATCTGGAGATAATAATAATATGAAAAAAAGGGTCCTGTGACCTTCTCTCTTTTTCTTCTATCAAGTCCCCCTTCTTATCTCCTTTTTTTTATTTATTTTTTCACTTTCTCTTTCCTTATGTTTCGAAGGTCCTTTATTTCCATTTTGATGACAACATAAATTTGAATGTTTTATCTTATTTGCGCGTAAAAAAAAAAAGAGTATTATGCAGCTCAATGAAACAAAGAACCTTTTTTTTTCTCACCGCAGTAAGATGAAGATATCATAAATGCACTTTGAATAAAGGTTTAAGCATGCTTTAAGGGCTTCATAGAGGAAAACGGAGACCTAAATTAGACTATTTTTTTCTGTCTCAACGACGCGTCTTTTTTTTTTTTTTTTTGTCACTTACTTTAAGAGGATAAATAATAATTTTATAAAAGATTTCCTTTAGTTGCTTCAAAAAAAAAAATAATAATCATAGGTAGTGTAATTGAAGTGCTTCATTTCTGTACATGTGGTATGTATATACTCAGTCCATGCTGCAGGATTCTCATAATACTCAGGGATATATAGGGAAAAGGCTCTAGTGTTTTGATAATGCTCTTTAAATGTCTGCTTGAGTTTCTCTTCTCACTGTGGTGAGCTTGTATCCAGTGCGTAACAGAGGGTGTTTTTTGTTAGAGTAAGCTGCGGTATGTGGTTAGGTATGACTGAAAGATTAATGTGCGCATTGGGCGTATGCTTTAAATATTTCTTTATCACAAAAAGTCCATTTTGGCTATGAATTTTGTAATATGGAAACTTTCTTCGATATTGCATAATCACATTTCCATTTTCTTTGTAGAAATTTTCTTCCCTTGGATCTGCACCAATAAATGGCACATCAAAGTCAGGATAGAAATATAAGTGAAGTGTCCGCAGATTTGGAAATTTATGCATTATGTAAAAAAAGAGGTCTTCTTCAAAGAAGGAGGCTAACTTTAGCTTCTTGACTCTAGTGTGTGGCTGCGTTGAAGGTATATTGTAACTTCTGGAGTGAAGGTATGATGATGCTTCAAATGCTTTTGCTTTGTTGTTATATATTTTTAAAGATGTTAAATTTGGACAAGATTGGATAATTTCGTCGTAACCAAAGGATTTGGAGTGATAAGTGTGTTTAACAACTAAATGCGTTAGATTGCTAAAGAATGACAGTTGATTAATCGTTCTTTTCAAGAATTGAGAAGAAAGAGGCCCTGGTGGCAGATCGATGCGGGTGAGTGTGGAGCGACTAGCCATGGAGAGTTCTGATAGCAATCAAGTCCATGAGAATGATCTGGATGATCATTCTCAGGTGTGGGAAGTTTCTTCAAGCCTCTCCAGTTCGTTCTTATAGCTTCTTCAATAGCACGCCATACAGAGGTACCAGCCAGCCTACTTTTAATGCGGTCTACATTTGGACGAACTTTGACCAACTCGTAAATAAAAGAGGCTGCCATTTGATTCATGGGCTTACCTTCATCATCAGGGATGATAGCTCGAGTCAAGTGAGCTAAATAGCAATTTTGCATAGAATTTATAAAGTTTTTCAAAACAAGATAGTCATCAACTTGATAGAGATATACAAACAATCTTTTGCAGCCTGTGTCCAACTTTTGCAAACTAATTGATATTGTGTTAATCAGTGTTGTCTATGATATGAATCCTTTACAGCATATTTGAATATTTGATACCTCACTTCATAAGGAATATTCTTGTCTATCATTTTTTTTAAAAGAAAATTATAAAGAAAAAGAAAAACGAGATCTCGCGTAACTTTATTAATCAAAGTGACCTCTTCTTTTTTCATTGATAAATGAGATTTCTTTGTTCAATTCAAGCTACAAACATAAAAGTAAGCCTAATAGCATGACTCAAGATAAGATAGTTTAAGTCAATCTTGATATTGGGGTTATCAAGAAACTTGATCACGCCAATTTAAATCTATTGCACACAAAAGCCTCCCCTTAAAAACTTTTTAATTTCAGATAAACTTTTTTTCTTCTTCTTCTCTTTTCAAATGACCAACCACGACATTGAACGCATCAAGAACCTTCTCGGTACTCATGAAGACTTCCCAAAGAAGGTATATAATTATATATATATGGACTGTTCACGATACTTATATACTTATCTAGGGTATTGTCTTTAAGGACATGTTTCCCGTATTCAAGGACCCCACAGCTGTTGAAGCCCTTATCTCAAACATTGTTCATCATATTAACTCCACTTATCCTGAAAAGATTGATGCCGTTGTTGGTCTTGATGCACGTGGTTTCTTATTTGGACCCTTGATTGCTCTTCGTTTGGGAGCTGCCTTTGTTCCTGTTCGTAAGCAAGGTAAATTACCTGGAGACTGCGTTCAAGCTACATATCAAAAGGAATATGGAGAAGATATCTTTGAATTACAAAAGTCTGCACTCAAGGAAGGTGATCGTGTGATCATTGTTGATGATTTAATTGCCACTGGTGGGTCAGCAGCAGCAGCAGGACAGCTGGTAAAGCAGTGTAATGCAAAGACAGTTGAATACGTATTCGTTATGGAATTGGACTTTTTAAACGGTTCCAAGGCATTGGATGCACCTGTTTATTCTTTGATTCATTTGTAAAAAAAAGTCTCTTTTTATTTTTTTACGCATAAAGACAAAGTGTGTGTGTACATCTGTGTAATTTTTTGCCTTTTTTTGCCTTTTTTTTCTTATTTTGTAAATAGATACCCACATATAATAATAATAATGGAGTTTGATGAAGTGCATACGTTCATCAAACGAAAGAGTAATGAAGAACAGAATGCACCCTCATTAAACCAAATAGCTAATACCTCCTGTTCAAACCCTTATAATACCCTCCAACCTGTACTTGCTAAACGACCTACCTTTTCTAATTTCGTACATAGACTAAGACAACAATCAACCAAGACACGATTCGTTCGTGATTATAAAAAGTTGGCCAATGACAGTCTTTTAAGTGATGAAGAAACGGATGAACGAGGTAAGAACTATATATTAAAAGAAAACTGTTCTTTACTGTTTATATATATATATATATAGTATCTTCAAAAATAATGGACGCCAGTCGATCTATACCAGATAGTCAAATTGAAAATTTAGATATCTCAACAAATATAACCAAACCGATCAAACGGGTCACTATCAAATTAGATTCACCAACAACAGAATCAGAGGATGATGATGACATAGTCACGATCGAAGGAAAAGAGATCTTTTTGGATGATATATCCCTCGAAAGATTCAAGTAAGAAAAAAAAAAAAAAAAAAGACAATTGTATACTAAAATACAATAGAACGATGGAACAGACGATTGAACTACATCAAAGGGACATTCAAAGTATTCAAGATAGGATCGAATATGAAAAGAGAAGGATCGAGATCAAGAAGGAAGAAATCATGTATTTCATACACAGTTTAAACAACATGAATGAACAAATCGAAAACTATTCACAGTCTATAAAATCTATCCTGCATAATAATTTACCCTTGATGAAGGCTCATCAATCAAATATCATTGATAATAACGACAAGCTGAAATATAACAGAAAGAAGAATTTACTTCAAAAGGCGAGGTTTGATAAGTATAGAAAGACAATCAATGCCGAAACAAGGTTACTGGAGTTGGAAAAGAAGATAAAGATCGTCTGGAAGCGAGATGAGATTTATGCTGGAATAAGAGATTGGGGATTCATTGTCGGTAAGATTTCATATAACCTTTTCCTTCTTTTGTTTTCTTAATTTTATTTAGTGTTCATTCTTTCTTTACTGTTTTCTTGTTTCATTATTTGGAAATCATAATAAATATTAAACTCGAAGGGCCTGAACTGTCTTTCCAAAGCCTACTCCAATCCAGTCTGGACATGATTTACTCCATGTGAGTGAATTGACTTCGGCATCTGCCACATAAGCCAAGAGTGGATCTTGTATAGTACGTGGTGGTTGATGATTATAGTAACTATTTCTTGGTTCATTCTGATTTATATTCCAGACAAGTACCTGTGAGTCATCACCTCCGGTTACTATCTGTCCAGGCTCTGTAGGTGACCATGAGATACAGTTGATACTTCCACTATGACTCTTGCACAGTTCTGCTATAGGTGCACTTGGATAACGAATGTCTAATATCTGCACTGATGAAGAATCCATATGAAATGTGGCCAAAAGGTTTGAATTCATTCGACTAAACTGTAAACGTAGCAAGGGAACTGAGTTATGCACCCTGTTGGGCGTAGTATTAGGCACCGGTTGTGTCTCGTATAAGATGGTCGAATGTTCCAAAGATCTATTTTTTTTTTTTTGGGAATAAATATAAACATTCGGGACATAGTGCCACTATGTTTTTTTTTATGTTTACCTTAGGTCAAACAGTCGAACCGAACCATCTGCGCCCACACTGGCAAACGTATCAGCCGAACCATGCATGAATGCGACATCATAAACATCACTATCATGTGCAATTAACTGTGTCTTTGCTTGATTGGTTTCTACATTCCACACTGTACAAGTTGTGTCAATACTTGATGTTACTATCAAAGAAGGATCTGTCTCATTCCAATCAAACGAAGTAAGTGGTGCAGAAAAGTCAGATTGCTTCATCTATTATATCATGTGAATCAATATATCCCCCCCTAAACGAAATGACTTACATTGACAAGTTCTGCTTTCTTGACCAATTGCTGTGGTGTATGTACATAGCTATTACTATTATTTCTTGTTGTGATACTATTGGTTGAGCCATATCTTGGATCATCTACAAGTTCCCATATTCTCAAAATATCTCCTGTTGTGGCTAAAAGGTCACTACTTCTTGCGTCTGTCTATACAAACATCAATACATTATAACAACAAGATATCTATTTTTACCTTTCTTGGTTCCCATAGCACTTTAGTAATTGGATAATACGAATCAGCTTCAGCTACTGCAGTAAAATCATTTCTTGAAGGAGGAACATGATCAAGTAAGTCTGTACGAGATATGATTTGTAACTAACTTGACTTTTAGTTAAGTCCTCATGACAAAGCTTATATGTCTACCTTATTATTACTGTCTTCAATAAAGCTACCAATAGCCAATCTAAAGCTTTTTTGCTCAATAGGTGTCTTGCACCAATCGAGAGCATATATTAACCATGGTGCGTCATACTGATATATCTCTTTTGTAGGTATAAGTGGTTGTTGTTGTTGTAGCGTATCTTGGCGATAAGGATAATTATTATACTGTCTTGATGTATCCATTGTTATTTATCTCGGACCAAAAAGAAAAAGAAAAAGAGAAAAAGAGAGAGAGAAAGAGAAAAAATATAAAATGAAATATAAAAGGGGAGATACAAAAAAGTCAGTCGTGATACTTTAAGATGCATCATTATTACGGGCTCACACGGCAAGCGGAGGAAGAAAAAGTGAGAATGCCCTTATTCATGCATGTTTAATAAATTAAGAAATTTTATTTAGCAATAAGGTACACATTCGTCGTATCCATGGAAACTTAAAAGCATATAAAAGGCCATTATGACACGTGATATTTTTATTACATCTTAGCCTGCGTATCAACGACGCTGCTGTGGAGATCTGAATAGCCATTGAAGTAGGTTTTATGACTGGGATTAGGGTGGTGATGATATACGTATTCAAGTTCATGCAAGATAATTGTAGATCACGAGTCATCTGATATTCCAGAACGAGGCTATTTGAAAAGAGCGTGCAACAAGGAAACTTATTTAAAAGGAAGAGCAAACGATCCCATTACATTTTTTATTGATGATATTATTCTGTCTATACCATCTGCCTTAAGATCATGACATTTAATGCCAGGCTTTAACATGGACCACAATTCCTTCAATAGAATTAAGAGATAGCGAATAGGATAGAGTGATATATCTAATTATCCATGACCTTTTCATTCCGTTCTTATCCAACACATTCATTACATTCGACAGTTATGCAGGAAAATACACTTGCCTTTTTTTTTTTTGCCCCAGCTTCGTTTAATACAATTGCTTTTTCAAAGGTGTATTTTACAGAGATCTACCAAAGTTTCTGATTATATGGAGGTTTAACCCCAGTTTCATCAATAAAAAGCACAGTTTTTTTTTTTTGCTTGAATGACTGGAATTTTCTGCTTGCGATAAAGTCTTGCAAGCATTGTGTTAATAGCGGTGTTTTAGATAAAGCATACCATTGTGAAAGACTGGACGCGTATCTGTGGCAGTAAGACAAGCCAGAAGAGTGCCCTCTGGCAATGACAAGAGGACATATGAGAGACTGTGCTTATGGTATAAGAGTACGTTTCTGACATTGTTGATCATTTTGCCATTTGCAACGTTGTTTTTAGAGAAGGTCTTCTCAATTGTGTTTAGATAGTTACCAGCATAGAAAAAGATACCAAAATAAGGGGAAAAAAAGATGGAATAGGAAGCGAATCATTCATAAAGGTAGTACGTGAACGATCAGTCTGCATTGTTCTTTAGAATGCTTCTATAATTATCTCTGACACGGTGCTAGTCATGGTTAATGGTAAGCTCTTCTTTGAACTTGCAGTATGTGATGTAGAAAAGACTACTACTTCTTGATAAAGTACTTTTCGTGTTTATAAAGAAGTATTGTATAGCGGTGAAGGAGGTAGACACAGATAGTAACCAGAAAGGAAAAAGAAAAAGAAAATTCAAGAAGATTGTGGTGCCACAGTGGTTCAGACGTGTGTGCCTCGCTAGATACATCACTGGAATAATCTGGTTGGCTGAAATTAATGTTCTCCTTTTTCGGTTATTCTGTGTAATCTATATCACTTTTTTTTTTTCTTTGTTTGGCCTGTCTTAATTGTTCATTATTTAATTATTGTTATTCTTGATTAGTTTAATCCCCTTCATAAAAGTGTATTTATAGATTATTAAAATATAATTACCCAGTAAGGCAATAATTTATATATTATTTAAGAATAAAGAAAAGTGATACTAGTATAATAGCTTCCATTGCGAGCTATATGAAGACCTACATGTGTGTGGTCTAATAAGTTACTAAAAAGCTTAAAAATGCTATATCAAGAGTTTACCAATCTCACAAAATACATTACATCAAAAACAAGAGGTTATGTGTAGCGTCTATATACTTTGTTGGCTAGTGGTTATAAAAATCTCGTCATCAGCGTCATAGACGTAAATAACAACTACTCAATTTGTATTACCAGCCAAATTTGTGGCTTCAATAGACATTTTACGTTTAAATGATATAAAGTAACAGAAAGAAAGAAAAAAATGTGTATCAAGAAGGGGATTTTTAAAGCCAAATTGAGAAAAGCAACAAGTGGAATTTTCCAAGAGGAACAACTGAAATGGAAACTGTATTTTACCCCTTATTAAAACACATGATATCATACACTCAGAAAAAATAAATAATTTTGCGCCCAAGCCGTCTTTTTTAACCCTTTTTTCTTCTTCTTTTTTTTTTCTTTATTATTTTATTGTATCAAAATGACTGAGTGCATATCCAATTCATATTCTACATTTTCATATAAACCCAATCGTCATTTCCGTCGTCCTTCGATTACGAAAGGAACAATATCAAGTATAGCAAAAGATGTCAGATCAAACGACACAGTTGCTTCATTAATAAGAAAAAGAAACAATATGCCGCCTCCATCTGTGCAGCATCAAAAGCGGCTTTCTGCGCGTCCATCATCGATCGATTTAAGATCTTCAAGAGTTGCTACGGATGGTAAACAACAAAGCGTGTCAAACTTTAATCCTACGTTGTCTTCGGTGAAACTCCGATTGGATGAAAAGAATAACAATAACAAGCACTCGGCGACTGCGGTCATCAAGCAAAGAGAAGAGGACCTGTGTCTGATGCGACGTTGCGAAGCATGTAACAGAAGAAATGACAGTCAATGTAACCATAGCAACATGATGACAGAAAGACAGGAAAACAAGGGAATGGGAGGACTTGTTTCAGGATATGCGTCATCTAGTTCATTATCATCCATATCATCATCATCATCATCATCCTCATCAAGTACATCATCAAGCTGCAAGACAAGACGAAGAAAATATTCTGAAACGAATACCAGCCCCTTATGGCCTTTTGCGCAACCCCCGCCACCGTCCTCTAAAGTACCCATCCATCAATTACGTGAAACAATCATTGAAGACTTGACGTCAAGTATAGTCTCTTACTCGAATCAGATACAAGATCTATCCAACGCCATCTCCATCTCTTTCTCATCTACTTCTTTTGAAACATTGGCGTTTAAAAGAGTTTACTACCGAGAGCAACAAAGTGGTGCAACATACAGATCCCAAATAAAGGAATGCAAAGCACTTATTGTGCAACAAAAGGAGTTATTGGATAAGTTAGAGGAGCTAGTATTTGAAGAAGAAAATCACCATGAACAACAAGTCATGCTCAAGCAACCTACGACTAGCATCGATCAGTCAAGCCGTCTGCTAAGGAAATTCAAGGACAGTTTAGTCAAGCCAACCGGTTTAACTCAATTAGTGATTCGCCAAAATAAACTCAAAAAGAAGGACACGGTTGTTTCAATTCAAGGCATCTGTGAAACCAAAGAACCTTCCTTGATACCAAACAAGGTAAAGCCAGAATGTAACATGTATAGAGAGACATTCTCACCTTTTTTCTTTTGAAATATAGTTACTAAGCGAAAAGAAGAGAGTCTATTACTTTCAATATGCCTTAGACATCCATCATCATGACAGACTCACCAAGTTTACCCTCTTACCCAGTTCACAATGGATGAAAGATGAACAAGTTCATCAATGTCAATTCAAACCATGCTCTACCCAATTTGGTTTATTCGAACGAAGGCATCACTGCAGAAGGTAATATAATAATAGCAATAATATATGTAAAAATGACTCACATTCCCCTTAATTTAGGTGTGGTAATATTTATTGCAGCTCGCATAGTCAAAATAGACTTCCACTATTTACCCCAAAAGATCCATATAACCCAACTTTTTACCGGGTGTGTGATTGTTGCTTCTTTGAACTAACAAGCCAAAACTTATCACCTTATTAAAAAAAAGATAACCCATTGTACAGTCACCTTATAAACTTTTTTTATATGTAACAAAGATGAAAACCATACGTTTGATGTATGGATTATGATTCTAGTGTCACTTTTTTATATCCTCTAATTGTTGTTATTTTTATAATGAAAGGTTATGGACATTGCTGGATCCTTTGTTGGATAGGAATCAAGAATTCAAAGAATCCAACATTAAAGAAAAATGAACCTTTTATCCAGAGAGAAGAGAATAGCTGTTGCAGGATTGGAATAAAAAAAATGCTCAGAGACCGATTTAGGCTATAAGACACAAATTACATGTTTATTGATTATCTTTAGTATGGAATGAATAGGCTAGGGCTTCAGGAGGTGGAGAAGGTTAAAATTAAGATACAACCAACAAGGGGCAGCTTCATATTCTATTTTAAGTTACATATCTGATCAAGATGTCCTAAATATAAGCATTAGAGTACCCACAGTATCGCCTAAGGAAAAAAAAAAGCTATATCTTTGCTAGTGCTTCTAAGCACTATTAAAAGTTCGTCAAAAGAATCTTTATTCTTTTGACCTATAAAATGTCGCTTGGGGAAAGTAAAAAACCGGTTACTTGAATGGGAAATGAAATGTTACGCACTTCTGGTGACCATTGCTTTGTGAAATTATCCTGGGATTTACTTTGCTTGCCCCTGAAACACGTCAGTCTTGGCATCATTGATCCACAGGTTTAGCAAGCTGCGCTCTACTTTTATAACAACCTAACAGTCTATCATCCATCTCGCTTTTTCTACAAATTCATCTACAAAACACATTTAACACGGGGTTTTACGAAAACCCTTTAATTTTTAAAGAACATTGCAACACTTCAATTCCAACTTGTTTCCCACTTGTCATTTACTGGTTAAGTCATTGTGCATGATCTCTCGTAATTTTGCGCAAGTCCAAAAAAGTCTTCAAGTCTGCTTGACTCTCCCCATCAAAGTCATATTCACAAACATAAATGATTCCTTCCGTCACCCAGCCAACTACTCCCAAATGAAAGTGAAGGATCTATTTATTTATGACACCACTTCTGACACGCCACAATGAATCCCGGATAACAACACAGATAGACGATTTTGACGAGGAGCTCACAAAATATTCCGTGCACTAACATGAAACGCTATGCAGATTCAATTCTTTTTTGGAAGACATGGTTTTCCAGCACTTTCTGAACTGTCAGCAAATGGTCTAAACGATGCGATCAATGGTGAAGCAGTCCTTTTTATATCCCTTGCCTGTATCTGGAGATCTCACTGGGAGCGTGTATTTCGCAGGATAGAGTTCTCTTCCTGCCAAAACGCTATGGCAAATGTGAATAGATGCCTACAAGCACATTGCTATGTTTGATTATGTAGACTAGTTTTTCATTTTACATATTTTATTTTGTGTATATATTTTACGTAGCTTAAAACTGAAACATGCATATACAACTATATCAATGTAATATTAGAACTATGAAGTAATCAAAGAAACATAAACGCCGAGTTCCTTTCATTATATTACATGTTAATTCAAGCCAAAGAAGATGAGGTTAATGTAACATGTGTATTACTTTACAAGAACAAGTGCTATCAACATCCAGTGAACTGTATTAATACGACGCGTCATCAACTAGCACTAATTAAATCCATTCTCATTAATCCTACTGTAGCTTGGATTCTTGTGAGCTCCTCAGTGTTAAGTTGATCAACGATACGTAATAAGGGTGCGACTGTAACTATTGGACATTGATACAGTTCTGATGCTGTGACATATCTTCAAGGTAGTAATATGGAATGATTTAGGAAAAGTATTTATTTTCAACACAAATAAAGCAACAGTAAAAGCCATTTCAAGAAAAGCATTTGTTTATTAAAGATTATCCCCAAAAGCCAATGTTTTGCAAAGGAAACCTAAGAGAGAACAAAAAAAAAGGCCAGCAACGATGCCAAAAGGCTTCTAAAGGCTCTGATTGCTGCTGTGACGACATTCTTCAGGTCGGCCATTGACCATCAGGACAAGGACCAGGCACCCATAAAAACCATCAGACCATTAAATACCAAGCAGCCTGAAAATACCTGCAGTAGCAAACGTACCGTTGGGGTATGCATTAACTGAGCCTTGTCAATTGTCAACTAGCTTATGTGCCTCTTTGTGCCAGCCAGGCAGCAGGAAGCATCGTCAACAATCTGTCACAGCTGTGATCTCAAGTAATCAGCTCCCAGCTAATTACTAGCCCCCTGTAAAGATTCCAATCGAATGCCCATAACTCTCCTTTTGGCCGCCTGAAAGCCTCCAGTTGAGTGATAAAACGAGTGACTGTTGTCAGTCCAGGACACGTGTTGAGCATCATAGAAAGAGATTGCATAGAAATCCTTGAACACACAGTCATCGCCTTGCTGAATAAGTTTTATAAAAACCTACATTGACCAAAGAGAATAACCAGAAGAGCCACCAGAAGGAATCAAAAAAGAGTAAAAGAGAAAAAAAAGTATAAAGAGAAAAGAAAAAGAGAAAAAATGGAATGGGAGCAAATTTCCCTCTTTTTATACCCTTTTCTTAGTTATATGAAGTTATTGTTTTCTATCTTGTCAACGTACTGCTTCTATAAATTCCTCCAGATCATTATCTGTACAAAGACGAGTGACCATTGCTAACTCCCTGTTGCTCTCTATGTACTGGTACCTATTCCTTAGAAAGAAAATCAATCTCTCAAACCGATGATGCTCTTCTTTGCGCCGCCAAATCCTTCCTCATTCATCTGCCTTTTGAATTTGCTGCCAATACAGCTTGGTTCACTACATCAGATATATATATATATATATATGTATACACCAGGTTCATTTCATTTTTGGTTATACGTTATAAGTCATAACTTACAATAAAAGAATCAAATGATAAACCATTATTGCTTTGAATGGGGGTATTCACGTAGTGTTCATCTGACAACTTTTGCAACTGAGATATTTATAGCAACTAAAGGCACATCTGGAACCAACCGAGCCTTGTAGTTTCTCGAGGAGAAACGGTTCCTGCAGTCCTATGTTTTTTGTTGTGTAAGTGTTTATATGTATAATTTAATAAAGATTAATTAGTATACCCTCTTTTTGTTTATCTGATCTTGCTGTTTTTATACTCCGTATGCTTAAAAGTACGTCTGGTTTTTTTATCTTTTCAAAAAAAAAATATCCAATATACTTTCGACGTGATCAAAGTGAACATGGCGTTACCCTTGAGATAACTTGAGGTAGATTTAAGATGTAAAAGACAAAAGACAGGGACAAACAAGTATTTGTGAGAATTCGTTTATTCCTGAGAATTGAGATAATGCAAAATACAGTGAAAAAGAGGGCTCTATTTATACTTTTTGATGTGGATTAAATCAAGATACGATTTGATTCGTTCTGCTACGTTAATTGTTAAAGCTGCGGTGCCTGGTTTACGACAATGATCTGGATGCTTACTAAGTTACTTTAATTGGGTATTCATATTGTAAAGACTACGCATTGGAATAGTGCTTATAAATCACTTTATATTCCTTATTGACTACGCACAGACTCTGCCTTTACTTACTATGGAAATTATAATCTTCGTTCTATAACAACCCTGACGAAATCAGAGACATTCAAGGCAACGAGTCCTGTCTTTGTTTGCATTTAAGTCAATTATTACTCATTATTTAAATTCTACCAAGCGTAAGAGTTTAGCATCTTTATACTAACTGCAACATTATACAAATTTGAAGGTTTATGTAAAACAAAAAAGAAATAAAGAAAAAGCGGATTTATGCACAATGATGCATATTTATACACAAATTTACTCAATTTCCTACAGGAAGCACTCTTTTTCAGTAACTTGAACTTGATAGAATAGGAAGGAAGGTTTACACATTGTATCCTTAATGTAAAATATACTTGACTTCTTTATGACCAGATAAAAGCTTATCTTTTGTGTTCATTTATCCGTACCACCTAACATCTCTTCCAAAAAGCTGACATAATAAACAGTTACTCAAACCTCCTTTCTCCTAAAAGAAGAGTTAATGCCAGTCGTGTTTCTATGTAGGCATTTGCTTCAGATGATATTAGAACACTCTTCATACTGCTTTATCCATAATGCAAATGTATATTCGGCTATTTTCTTGCACACAGTCGATGTGCTCATATTTTTCAACCTTTCGTTTGAAAAAAAACTTAGTTGCTGTTCTGAAAAGTGTATCGAGTACAAGTGCCACTTTTTCTCATTCAATAATCCTCATTTTTCATATCTAATTAAATTGTAATGTAGTTTAAAGCCATTCCCTCCTTGTTCATCTATAAATAAAATTGTGCCCATGTTAAGCTATGTTCTCACCTTACTAAAGAAGAACAAGATAGCCCTGTCACCTTATAAACCTTTTTTTTTAATAAATGTAACAAAGATGGAAACCATGCGTTTGAGGCACAGACTTTAGTGTTACTTGTTCCCTCATAAAAGTATATTTAAGAATAAAGAAATTTCTTATTACTAAAAATAGCTCTATTTCTTTCTTTCTTTCTTCAAGCGGCGTTTATTCATTATGCATTCAATAACAAACCTGCAACAAGAAAAAAGGAGATGAACCTAGATTTACACAGACATAACAACAACGCTGCTTTTTTTTGACGTCACATCAAAAGGGACAATGATGAATCTTGAGCCGTGTTACTTTCTTGTCACGGGTTATCTTAACCAAGGCAAAAAAAACTAGTAATTGTTTGATTAAAACTCAATTTCCCTTTTCTTTTTTCCCTTTTCTCTCTCTTTTTTTATTTATTTATAAACGATTGTGGCCAACAAATGGCATGGCAACCAGATCGACAAGGATTAAGAGAATTAACATATTTATTAAGAGAAGCAGCTAATCCCAATGGTCGTGATCAAGGGCTTATAAGCCAGGTATATGCTTTAGTGTTTTTATATGCTCTGTTCTTATATTTATATCAAAGAGACTGCAACTATTTAATGAATATCCTGATTATAATGCTTATCTTATATACATACTCACCAAAGCAACAAATGAAGATATCAATACGAGACGAGTTGCTGGTTTACAACTTAAAAATAATATCAAGAACAATTTCAATTCGATCCCCATGTTTACTCTTAATTATGTCAAGCAGGCCTGTATCGAAGCGTTAGCACATCCAGAAGTCGTCATCGTAAAGACACTATCCTCTGTGGTATCTTCGATCGTAAGCAGAGGACAAGTGCATAATTGGTTAGAAGTATTATCCTTTTTGATTCATCAGTTGAGCAGCAGCAATAAATTGGTCATAGAGGTAAATTAATTTGTATAGTTGAGAATGAAACTAACGTACACTTAGACTGCACTCAATACATTAGTCATGATTTGTGAAGATACAGCAATAGAATTAGATGAAGAGATGCACGGGATTCGACCACTCAGCTTTATGCTTCCTAAATTTATCGAATTTATTTCGAGTGCTGAGCCACGCTGGCGAGTTCAGGCGATCAATGCAACTAGTCAATTTGTTCTTTTAAAGTCACCTTCATTTGTAGAACAATTTGATGCCATTCTGACGGCGCTGTACGCTAGAACAAGTGATTCAGACCATCGTGTGCGACGTGAGCTGGGGAGAATTCTTGCCATCTTGTGGGAGGCCTTTCCAGAAAAGCTACAACCTTATTTATATCCTACCATCGAATATATGATCCAGGCCACTATGGATCAAGATGAAGAAGTTGCTCTTGGTGCTTGTGATTTCTGGGTCCAATACGCTCAAGTGGATCGATATCATGACGAACTTGTTCCTTACTTGACTCGTCTTGTCAATTGCTTGCTTCGACTCATGGTCTATTCCGAAAAGGACTTACTCGATTTATCTGATGAACCCATGCACACTCCATTTATAGAAGAAGACAGCGATCAGGCGATAAGGCCCAGATATTACCGTCCAAAAAATCTAATTGAGTCACCTGAACCAGTAGATCATCCACAAAATTACAGTGATTCAGAGTCTGAATTTGATTCGGATGAACATCATATCACAGATGACGATGAACATGACGATGATCGAGACGAATTCGACGATTTTGACGATGACGAATTTTATTCTCAAGTTTCTCTTCGACAATCCAGTGCCGCCGCATTAGATGTGTTGTCTGTCACTTACAAATCAGACATCGCTTCTGTCCTTTTAGACCAATTACTTCGTCACACTCTTCATGATCAGAATTGGCTTATTCGTGAAAGCGGTATTTTGGCATTAGGCGCAGCAGCAGAAGGTTAGTTTTCTTAATGAAAAATTCGTATTTGTTCTAATTTAATAATTAGGTGGTATTGAAGTCATCAGTCGGTATCTACATCAGCTGATTCCCTACCTTTTGAACTCGATGCAAGACCCTCAAGTAAAAATCACAGTGTTGACACTATTGTGTATACATAAATGCCCATAAGATCTAAACCTCATCTTTATTATACTAGCCTCTTATTCGCTCCATCTCCTGCTGGGCAACAAGTCGATTTTCAAAGTGGTTAATGCATCAGTACGACACGAACGAACAAGGTCGCCAGCTCTATTTTGAGTCTGTGCTCTATACCTTACTTCACACTCTTTTAGATACCAATAAGCGCGTACAGGAATCAGCCTGCACTGCATTCACTATTTTGGAAGAAAATGCCTCGAACCGACTGAGACCTTACATATACTCTATTCTTACTCACACTAATAAAGCATTTACACTCTATCGTCGTAAAAATAGACTTATTCTGTACGATGCGCTTGGCACATTAGCTGACTCGGTGGGCCATGCGCTAAATAACCCTACCTATATCGGTCTATTGATGCCTCCTCTGATCACAAAGTGGAACGAATTAGCAGATAATGACACGGATCTATTTCCTTTATTAGAGGTAAGTTTATGTCACATCAAAAAAATAATAATAATAGCTAATCTATTGTTACAAAGTGCCTCTCCAATATAACAGCTGCCCTCGGTTCAGGATTTAAACCGTTTGTAGAACCAGTTCTATCAAGATGTGTTCAACTCATCTCTTCTACTTTACAACAACAAGCCTATGCTGATGAATACCCGGACAAGATAAGTCCACCGAACGTAGAATTCTTGATTGCCGCGCTTGATCTTTTATCTGGTATCGTCCAAGGACTGGGGTCCAGTATTCAACCATTAATTGCCAATACAAATCCACCTTTGCTATCTCTCTTGAGGACTTGCATTCATGTAAGTTTTTATTTTAGTCATGAACATCTATATCAACTAGACATTCCTGTTAGGATCCTGTTTCTGAAGTACTTCAATCGACATTTGCACTAATAGGCGATATTGCTATTGCTTGCTTCAACTTGCTGGAACCGTTTATTCCTGATATCATGGTAAAGCTTATTCAGGTGCTCAAGAGCCCAGAATATATTATTTCTGTTGTTTCTGTGTACAACAATGCACTTTGGGCGATTGGTGAAATTGTCATGAGATGGAAGTCCAAGACGATGTATTATATTCCTGCATTGATAGACGTATTGGTGCCTCTACTGAAACATGCCCATGCTCCACCTTCTGTGCATGAAAATTCTATGGTTGCGCTGGGAAGATTAGGATTAGCTTGTCCTGAAAACGTGGCACCTCACTTGAGGAAATTTATTAAACCATGGCTGAAAAAGTCTCTATCGGTCCGAGAAGGTGACGAAAAGGATAGTGCTTTCCGAGGCTTGTGCGCGATGATAAAGATAAACGTAAAGGATGCTCAAGAGGTATATATATATGGGCTATTGCTCTAAACGACCCTTCATTGATAATCTCTCGCACTTAGGAGCTTTACTTACTCTTGGTCTCCATTTCTACTTGGAAATCACCTTCATCCTTATTGTCAAAGGATTTGTGCGATGTAAGCTATTTTGTATATATATATATCCATTCTTTTTATTTACAAATATAGGTGGTGGAAGGATTTTATCAAATGATAAGTCAAGATGAATGGAACTATACATTCTCTTCACTCAACAAAGAAGAACAAGCTTACATTCAATCCATTCTAGGGAAAAACAATACTTAATCTCTCTCTTTCTCTCTCTCTATTTTTTATGTATCCTTTTTGTTTGTAAGTGGAGTAGCCACAGTGTTAATAGAATAAAATAGAGTCATTCACGCAAGAGATGCTTATGTAATACACCCACGTCTCACCTGCCTTTAAATTCATGAAACATTTTTCATTTTTCTTTTTGATCTCTCTCATACACACACAAATGTCAAACGAGAATGAAAAGTCGCTGAATCTAAAGGGATCAACTTGGCCACCTGATTATAGCCAATATAAAGGTTATTTGTTATTATTTATACAAGTGTAAAGCATTCTAATTGAATGCTCAAAACTAGATCTATCTGATGATGCACTTGACCAAATAGTAGAAAACGAAGCACAAAATACACAGGCACCAGAAGCATACAAGGTACTCTTTGGTCGATTGCTAACCTATTGCCGGTCAATCACAGAAAGCAACAACAGATACCAACAACAGATACATCAGTTGAATACCAAGTGCGAGAATTATCTACGATACATTGAAGCGGCCCGCGAGAATTTTGAGAATGTGAGCGAGCTTTATAAAGAAGAGCATATTCGTGTATTGAACCTGAGAGAAGATAAACTTGAATTACGGTTACAAATTGAAACATACAAGAACGAGCTCAAGCAAGCAGCACAGCAATTATCCGAGACTCAAAAGGCAAGAGAAGAAGTTATTCAGGAACATGAGCGTTACAAAGAACTCGCTGGTAGAAATGCAGAGAAGCAGGGTTTGGGAAGAAAGAATTTGGAAGAAACTTTGGTAGAAAAGGAACAACAGGTAGAAGAGCTTCAAAAGGCGGTAGCACAGCTGCAGAATCTTTTGAGTTTGAAGGAAGTCGAAATTAGGGAATTGAATACTAGAAACAAGGCTATCAGCATTGTTTTAGAAGGTACAAGGCATTTACAACAACAACAACAACAGCAACAGCAGCAGAATCATTTGAACTTTTCCTAATATTCATATACAAGCATAAAAACATACACTTTTAATATAACACAAAAAAATGCATTTTTTTTTATTCGCCAATATCAAACTCTTTGAGTTCTTCTTCTTCTTCTTTTGTCACCTCAAACTTCTTTCCTCCCAACATTTGTCTTAGCCGTGAGGTCTTTCTGGGTACTATGAGTTGCATTGTATCTGAAAATTCTTTAAACTATATCAAAGGTTTAGTATGGCAAACATGAATACATATCCATGTATATTTACACTATGAACGTCAAGCCACCAACTGACAGTTTTGGCAAGTATTCCAGCTCCTGTAAAGGCAAGCAAAGTACCCAGACCTAATGTCTTGAAGGCAAACATGGTAGCTTCCTTTTTTGCAATTGCCAATTCTTCCGGTGTCAACTTGGGAGGAATGAATCGATGAGGTATATGCTTGATGCCTTCTTTAATCTCTGTTTCTATTCTCTGATTCTGCTTTTTCTTTGTATGCCAAATAGCACCCAAGAGACCAGCTCCAAAAGCACCTGCTGCGCCTGTCAACAGGGTAATGATCGGTGGTTGTGTTGACAGATCTTGGTCTTTCTTGGTCATTTTAATAAGAGAGAGAGGGAAAAATGATCAAGCCCTTGCCATTTTAATGTGAGTTTTAATTTTATTTTTTATTGACATTACACATTGCAGATTCTTTTTCTTCTTTAGCATATTTATTCAAGCAGTCCTTCTTTCATAGTTGCGCATCAAAAACTTTCTTTACAATCTTTGAAGATTCAATTCAAACTGCCTTATCGCATTCTTTACAATTTCTTCATAATCAGTTTCTTCTCCCAATAAATTCGCTCTCACTCGTTCAGGAACTATTGGCTCTGGATCTTCTTCAATCTGTTCCAAGTCAACTTCGACACTTGTATCTTCCATTGTCTGTACTGGATTAGAAGGTTGTGTACATGATGGATGAACTACTGATTCATGAGGAATCGTACGTTCTGCACTGGATGGCTGGCCCACTCTTAAGTCATCCACCGACTGTGCCTTTTCAGAATTCATGCTTTCTTGCTGTGCTCGATACTGCTGCAGTTCCAACTCTTGTAGCCGCTTCTCCCGTTGCAATTCAAGCAATTGCTGCCTTTGTAGATGCATCTCTCGTTGATGCTGTATGTGTTGTTTTTCTTGTTGTCGCTGTTGTTCTAACTCTTGCCGTTGTTGCTCACGTTGCAATTGCCTCACCTGCTCTGCTTGTTGTATCTCTCGTTGGCTCTGTATTTGCTCTTGCTGTTGCTGCTGTAATCTGATTCTAGGATCTCGACTCATGCTATTCTGTCTAGGATCTGCAGGTCTTTGCTGACTTAATCTTGAGTCACGTGGAGGGGAAGACGGTGCCTTTTTGGAAGGGTCATTAGGAAATAGAATACATCACGGTTTCAGCAGCAGCTTACCCTTGATCTCTTTATATCGCGCTCCTGGTACTTGGAACTCATGTGATCGGGTGAGTAGGCTCTCTTTGCTGAATCAGTATGTGAGGATGAATGACCGCTTGATAAGCGAGGTGAACTAGCAAGTGAAGATGGATTACTGCCATTATTTCTTGCCGATTCCAAATATTCTAATAATCGCCTATTCTGATCAAAGGCCTGAAAGCGATAGTGTGTTTCCCTGCCATCGACAAACCAACGCAAAAGGGTCTCTGTTACCACAGAATTCCATTGAGAGACAACCCTGGCTAGGTTGTAAAGGTTCTTCCTTGTAAACACTTGTTTATAAATAAGCGGTGGCATGCCTCTGAGAGTGGTACGAGGTAATAATGTACGAGAATGCTTTCGTAAAAGTTCCTGAACGTTGTATAGTCTTATTTCAGGCGATCCTACACAGGCGAGTTGAATAATCCTGACTGGACGTTCCTTGAATAGTTTAGGAAGGTAAGCATTCGTATCGATTGGCACCTCAACAAGTAGAACCAAGTCGATGGTATATCCGCGGTTCTAAAAGAAAACATGTGTTCATGAACGACAACAATATGTGTGTAGGACATTAGGATAGTTACTGGTATATCTCGTTCCTTTTGTTGGACTTGTCTCCTGCTGTGACAGAAAACAAGACCATAGGCATCATTGGGGAAGCCTCTGTTTTGTAGTCTTGTAATTTTGAAACTTCGACCTTTGATCGCGTTGATGAGTATTTTTTCTGATGTTTTATTACTGCACATGATGGCGATTTCGACATCTTCCTAATGATTATGTGAGCATAACAACGATCTATGACATGCATAACTCTACTTGCCCTTATCGTTTGTATCTCTTTAAAGAATCGAATAAGGAACTTGAGTTTACTATGTTCTTCTAGTTCAGAGGCACTAACGCTTCCCACATTATCTAAAGCTTCAGCAACAGATGGATGCATAAAGCAACCAAGTGTAGTCCATATTTGTTCATCTTGAACATTTGGTTTCATCATGAATTTTTCAAAAGCGGCTATTTCACTGGGTAATATTGCGATGGGTAGACAATCTGTTGGGATATCTTCTAAATTAATGGTTGCAGTCATTTCTTGTTGTTCCATGTGTTGACTTGGCGATACAGCACATGCTGAATTCTCCTTTGACAGTTTTTTAAATTCCTCAGCATAAAAGGTTCTTGTGCTCTCATTATCAACCCCTCGTGGATCCAAGTTTGGAGCTATTTTCTTGATGGAAATCTCTCCCATAGTTTCAACACACAAAGAAAGGGAGGAAAAGAGAGAGAAAGAATAACGAAAAGCTTGCTTCTCCTCTTTTTTTTGAAAGTCAACGCCCGATTTCTTTGTTGCAAACTGGCTCCTTAGTGAATATCGCAATGTAGACTGTCATATATCAATGAAACTAAAACCCAATGTATTTATCAGTGTCTTTTTTATTATTATTATTATTACTGAGACATATTTTTTGATATCATCGCAATCATTCTATTACCAACAATGGTACTTTCAGCAAACTGATCTCTAAAGAAGTCGGCTGTTTGCTCAAATCGTTTTTGATAGCCTTCCATACTTCCTAGTGATACTGCTTCTGCCCAGCCTCTAGCGCATGTCACAAACTCCATATCATCTGATCTAATCTCTTTACGATACAATGCTGCTTGAATTGCTTCTTCAAGCATGGCTGGATTACGAAATAGATATTCTGTTATTCCCCTAAAAAAAGCATGAGTAATGGAATGAACAGAGTGGGTGATATCTTACATCCAAAGTCGAAACAAGGGCGTTTGACAGACCATGTGTTCATAAGGGTTTAAGCCTAACTCATACCAACAATCAACCATGGCAAGTAAAGAGAGATGGGAATTACGTTGACGGTTTTCTTTGGGAATCTTTGAAAGTGAAAACTCATCCAAGAGTCGATCATCTAATAAAATAGGTACATGGTCCTTTTGAAGGCCACCAAACACAAAATCTCCTGCCTAATCTGAATAAGGGGCACAGAGTACATCATTGATATATAAACGACTTGCCTGTTTTATTCTAGCGCGGAACTCTTGTTCCTTTTCTTGAATCATCAACTTGAATAGGTCTGCTACACTCTTTGCGTATTGTGTTATCTGAACTTTTGCGATCGGATTCATAATAGCAAGCCCAGCATAGACGTGCCACTTGTTACTATAGATACGCAAGGCTACATTGACTTTTACATTTTCTATGCCTCCAACAAAGTGAGGTATATGCCACTAGATAATATATCAGATGCTGGGTCCTTGGATATCAGCTTTGAACTTACAGGAAACTGTGAATTTTCTCTCCAGGCACTGCCCATACTTAGGAATGCAGCATGTGTGACAGCTTGTGTGTCTGCAGTGATACGGTCATGTTCTTCAGCACTAAGATGGACAATATTTGATTCAAAGCAAGAGAGAATTTTGAGAACCAGTTCAACTTTCTCTTCGCTTGCACGGTGTTTGATCACAATCAATGGCTGTCCTTTTGGATCCACAGCTGGACCATGCATTGAATGACAGGAAATAATATGAACATCTTCTGGTACATACTTCTCAAATGCTTCTATTTCAGGTTTTTTGACCGAAGTCTACAGTGACATGAGTTTTCATCCAACTTGCTCTCATTTCATCAAATTTTACCTGACCGCTCACGATAGCTCCCATCTTTGTTGCTATCATACTCGAATAAGTTTTATTCCAATATATAATCAATATGCATACCTGGACCAAATGTTTTCACCACTGAATCAATGTATTCTGCTTCAACTGCATACATAATCCAATCACATTTTCTAGAAATATGAAAACCATCAGGTAAAACATGGATATTGGTGCCTAAATACGCGTGTCATTATGATCCATCTTGTTATCTATACGCAACATTTATATGAATGCCTTCAAAGTCTTTCTTTAGTTGCTCATATTTCTCGGGTAAGTCGCATACGTTCACTCTAAGATTATGATTAGTCGAATGAACAAAAAAAAGTACAGTTCTTACTTTTTCCAGCCAGCTTTAGCAAGTCGTTGTGCATAAAAACGACCCATTCCACCTGCACCAATGATGCCAATCTCTATTGTTTCTTTTTCTTTTTCGTACATTAAAGGGTTGTTTAAAAGAAAATAGAAAAAAAAAAGGGGACAATTATGACAGATGATGTGTGTATTTAGATTCACCACCATTTTTGATAGTCACAAAGATGAACTCTGCACTTTTCAGAGTGAAAGGAGTTTATTCATAAAGGAACATCGATCTATATTAATGTAGTCTCAAGAAAAGAAAAATGACAGCTTGAGTGCTTCGCAAGACACTTTTACAAAGATAGGGTAAATAAAATCTTATTATACAACAGCTGTATGTTTTTATTCGTAATCATGGCTTTCAATCATGTCTAGCTATAAAAAACAAGAACTCTACACGTTAACAATCCCAGTTAATCTTTATAACTAATATCGTTACCAAACACATACATTTCAAGTAAGAGATTATCAAAGCTTTGTTCGTTTGCTTTATGGATTTGACATCTTTGTTTAATATGAGAAAATTGTGTTCTCAGTCAAAGGACACACATAAAGAATGGCCACAAATGCGTTATTCTTATATAACGCGACTATTCAAGCTGTCGTAAAATGATGCTGTTTGTAATATTGGGTCTCCTCACTCTCTTTCGTCTTGTTTATAATAAATAGAGTTATGCTTTTATTCAAAAAAGGTATCGCATTATGGCTCTTTTTTTGTTCTTTAAATTAAATGACCGCAATTGACCTTTTTTAGCCCCTCACTTTAGAACATCAAAAATAGAAATTAAAAAATGTATCATGTCTAATTCACTCTTATTGAGATTGTTTACTTCTGAGTATTTCAATGCTTGGATTGCTATTTCTTATCTATTCAAATACCCTGATAACGTTGGAATACAACATTATTTATGCTCTCAACTAAAGAAATTCCCAGTCAATGAAATTGAGTTCTTTTTACCTCAACTCATGTAAGGCTGATTATTAAAGACATTTATATAATCTAATACTTTTTAATTAGTCATATACTCATCACAAGACCAACTGAGGCTGTTGCTGTTGAAGCTTACTTGGTCAATGCATGTGAAAGATCAACTCATATGGCCATTATGGTAATTGTGCTTTATATGCAAAAAAATAAACTTACCCCTTTTTTTTAAATAGAGTCTCTGGTATCTACAAGCATACCTTTCAGATTTATCAACCAACCCAACCAATCCTTCATTTCAACTATGCAAACGAGTATTAAACCGATGTCAGGCTATTTTATTCGCAGCTGATAATCCACTAGAGGAAGCTCAAAGAGTGCATGAACACGTTGCACCTGCCTTCGTTGGCATAGGCGCTTTACTCGCCGCTATTGGTCTACCCGCTGCTGCCAAACCGATCGGAAACCTTGCGATCGCTCAGGGTCGAATGATCCACTTTCACACTGACGAGGACCATGTTGTCCACACTCACAAGTTTACAGCCACATTAGAGGATTTACATCGAGGAAAGGCGTTTACTCGACTGAGACGATCTCGAAAGATCACGCTTGTATCACATGATGAAAACGCACCCTCTCAGCTACTGACAGATATGGAGAACATGAAAGTCATGGCTCAGTCCTCTGTACCTACCAGTCAGGACGTCATGTCGTTACCTCAATCGCCTGTCTCACGCAGCTCGTCCTTTGACGAGGATCGTGTCTTGCTTCGTTCCAATTACTTTCGTTCCGAGATGCAGTTCCTTCTGGCCCTTGTCGATATCGCCACTCGACTGGTAATTGTGCCTAAGCCAGCCAGACAGAGTGCGCTTCATGCTGAACTTACCTTGCTCAACCACAATTTACCTGCGGAGATCTGTTTACCCCTTTGGTGTCCAGCTACAGACGATAGACCTTTTCATCATCGCGTTGTGCGCATCAGTCCTACAGACGCCGTTGTCTTGAACTCTGCAGAAAGGGTAAGAAATACATTATAAAGGAACGACCTCGTATTGATGTTACGCACCTTCATCTAGGCACCGTATCTGTTGATGATCGAAGTATTGGATGACGAACTCAGTCTGGACCCACTCAGTCAATCCAAACAATGTCAAACGGTTGACCTCGACCCACCCATCGAGACAGAAGAGACGCCAGTTGTGGAAAGTGATACCTCGGCAGCCCCTCTTCCTGCATTTGATGCCGAAGAATTTGCAGAAAAGATGAAGACAGCTGCCATCCTTCTCGCTCAACTTCAGCATGACCCCAATCCTGAACGTGACACGATCCGTCAAAAGATCATTGCCGAAATGGTCGCTCTAGAAGAGGATCGATTGGCCAAGATGACAGCAGGTATTCATGTTGATAGTAAACACACACTCGATTACCAGGTTGCTCTCGATCGTGAAGATCCCAGTGCAGCTGTCTTTTCCGAATCTTGGAGTGTAAAAAGAGAGCGTATTCGGGCTTCATCGCCTTATGGCCATTTACCAAATTGGCGATTGATCTCGGTCATTGTCAAACATGGAGCGGATTTACGTCAGGAACAGTTGGCTGTGCAATTGATACGTGAGATGCAAAAGATTTGGCAGGATACACATGTCGATGTCTGGGTGCAATAGTAAGCTACATTTATATTTAACGAGGCTTTTTATTGATCATCTTTTATAGTATTCGAGTCTTGGTCACCTCAGATCATTCAGGGTTGATTGAAACCGTAAAGAATTCAATTTCAATTCACTCGATCAAGAAGGAAGCCTATACTAAAAAATGGAATGAAGAAGGATCTGTGTTTACACTCAAGGATTATTATATCAAGGTAAACTTTCTAAAAAAAGAAGAAAAAAGTGACTAACTCAAAGGTAGAAATTTGGACCAGAACATAGCGAAGGGTTCAAAAGGGCTCAAGATGCATTCATGCGAAGTTTAGCAGGATATTCAATCGCATGCTATTTGATGCAGATCAAGGATCGACATAATGGCAACTTACTGATTGATGATCAAGGCCACATTGTCCATATCGATTTTGGTTTCATTCTTTCAAACTCACCAGGGTCTGTTGGCTTTGAAATGGCACCTTTTAAACTTCCCCAAGAATACCTCGATCTTTTAGGCAACAAGTTTGGTGAATATAAATCACTGATGAAAGCTGCATTCTTGGCTGTTCGTAAACACTGTGATAATATTTTATTATTAACCGAAATGATGTCAAAAGACTCTAAGCTGCCTTGTTTTCAACATCATGGCGCACTGTCGCAACTCAAGGAGAGGTTCCAGCTGCATCTGACAGATACACAAGTAGAATCGTTTGTAGATAAATTGATCATGAGTAGTTGCTGTAATGTATTTACTAGACTTTATGATACTTTTCAATACTATTCACAGGTACAAGAAAAAAGTATTAAAAAAAGAGAGGTATATTTATTATTTTGTGTAGGGAATATTGTAAAATAAAGAATGTTTTAATGTAATTTGATCAAATAAGATCAAGAACTAACCAACACTGTTTTATATATAACTTTTGGTCCTCTTTTTTTTCTCCTTTCAAATTACATTAAAAAACACATTTGGTTATTTCATTGCCTTTAGATAAACTGCCATCATGTACAAATTTAATTTGTTTCAGTTCATCCCTGTTTCTCATTCATGATTTATTCAAGCCAGGCCTTTATCGCAGTTTCAACAATGAAAAACACAAAGGTTAAAGAACAAGAGAAAAAGAAAAAAAAAAAGCCACTGACGTTTTATTAGCTACACGCACACACGCCAATAAGAAGGGACTCCGAATTTTAGGTGCTTTTTTATATTTTCGTTATTTTTTCTCCCCCCTCCCTCATTATGAATCAAGAAATTACACTGCCATTCAACAGTTTACTACACCATCTTTTCGAGTTAACGGCCTTTGAACAAGACAATGTCATGTGGAAAAGTGTTATATTGTCAGAAGAGCTCGGTTCATTATTGTTGGTAACGGCAAGTTAAACTGGCTCTCAAGAGATCCTTAGAATGCTATGAAGATCACGTCATATGATGGAGCAAGCCTACCCTGAAATTGAGCAAGGAAACTCTCGAAAGAGAGAGGCATGTATGAACTGGACCCCTATTATATTCAATCTCCGCTTACCTTTAGTTTGTGTTCGAAAAAGACCAAGGGGGACAAAGGAACACGCGGAGCGATTCATAAAAGGACTTGATAACGTATATAACATAACAAAAGCTGCGTTATCCAGAAAGAAATGTCCCAGGTCGATTGGCTCTTTTCAAAGTGATATTGACCCCCATCAATGCCTGAAGAAAATGAAAGAAAATAGAAGGAAACAATACTAAAAAAAGAAACTTGGTGATACTTTGTATCACCTTGCCTTGACAACTAAATTTTAAGAAAATTACGTCGTTGTACTGTTAGTCGATCTTTATCTCACTGTCGCCATTCACACACGCGCATATAATTGAGCTGTCTTTTCATTCATTTGTCTGTATTGATTAATATAAGAAAGAATTGTAATTTGTTGTCCTCATCCCCCCTTTCAACATGTGTGTAATGTATGGTTATTGTAATCAAAAATACATACTTTACTAGAAGTAAAGATGTGCTAGATTCAAGCCACACAATATATAGTCACATATCATACGGACAGTGTACCCTAAAAAGGAATGAAACGTATGTAGAAACTGGTCAAGGAACTTGATTGATATCCATAATAGGAACAATGGGTTCATCTTGGTAAAACCTTGGGTTAATGGAAGGCTTTAAATGACAGCAATAGTGCGTGTATGTCCCACGTTGAGCCTGGAATTATGTCGTGATTGAACACGGAAAGATACACTGCTTATGTTCAGGATTACAGGCTATTTGCAAAGAAAAAGAGAAAAGTATAAAACAGTTCACAGTGGTAGGAAGTGTATGGCCTCCATAAAAGAAAATGACATTCTAGGCCAACAAATCTGGGCTTGATTCTGAAGAAGAGAGGCTCAAAGATCACAAAGAACTACTTGAGATATGCTTCCCTAGTCTGTAAATCAAGGAGAGCTCGACTAAAATAGTGTCTCGAGCGATCATACTGTGAACTTTATCAAGAAGGACAATATCACACATGTGAATGAAGATATAATCTATAATTGCTCTCTTCCAGTCACAACTTCCTTCCTATTACACCGTTTTCTGCGTCTTTCTCTATGTGGAATTGCTATTTGCACTGGATTGATCTGCAAGAAGAGAAAGGAAAGAAAAATAAAAAAGAAGCAGCAACGTCACGTAATTCGAAGAGTGTCTAACATTTTTGCAAAATATTTTATCCAACTTGGTCAATTTCATACAATGTTCATCTCTCGGTTTCTCTCTCTCTCTCTCCTTCTATTGCAAAGCCCTTGCTTTCTTTTTTCTTTTTCTTCTTCTTTTTCTCACTTTCTTTTTTTTTATTTATCTTGATATTATTGATTTACCTAAAATGGATTTATTCGATCAATGCTGGGGCAACAATGACAATAGAAGTTACCAAGTAAGGGGTGAGAATGATGTAAGGGGAATAGTAGGATTAATGGGATTGTAGGAATATAGCATGCAGCAACAGCCAAGTGTAAATACATATGAATCGACATACATATAAGGAAAGATAAAAAATCCCCTAACACGCAATATGTTGTAGTCATTCATTCCCCAAGGTGGACTCGTTCAAGCCTCACAGCAACCTATGCTGCAGATCGATGATGCCATTCAGGTATACGCGGGTCCTTTTTTTGATTTCATAAATAAACCCAATGTTCTCAATAACAAGAATAGTCCCTTCAGCTATCTTCGCCATTCCCTGTATCGCCCAGTATGAACAAGAGACGATACTCTATGGATCTTTGGTCGCCCTATCTATCACCCATCATTACCACCACTCGTACACATACAACCAAGAGAAACAAGCGACCTTCGACCTACTCTCGATGGACAGCAGAGGAAGATGAACTGTTGAAGCAGGCTGTTCAGCTGCACGGTCCACACAAGTGGTCATTGATCGCTGCTCATGTGCCTAATCGCACCCCTATGCAGTGCTCCACACGGTGGCTGGGTGCTCTCAAGTAAGTCCAAGAGTGATGATGATTCATGTATAAACGTTATGATAGTCCCAATATTCACAAAGGAAGATGGACAGAAGAGGAAGACGCGATTCTGCGATACTCTGTACTCGAGTATGCCAATATGACGGATGCTGAAGGACGTATTCAACCTATCCCGTGGAATAAAATTGCGGAAAGAATACCGAACCGAACTGGTATTCAATGTCAAGCACGCTGGACAGAGGCACTGGATCCTTATGTGAGAAAGGGAAAATGGGCGGCAGAAGAGGATGCTCTGTTGAGAATGGGTGTTGAGAATTTTGGTCGATGCTGGATTCGGATTGCAGAGACCATTCCAGGTCGAACTCAGGTAATGTCATTAATGTGTACATTCATGTAATAATTTTTTTTAAAAAAAGAGACAATGCCGTACACGTTGGATGCAAATCAAATGTAAAGAAGATCGCAAACCTAATAATAAAAAGCCAACTACTAAAAAGTCAGTACCTGAAGCATCAGCTGTGGATGACGCTTCGAGTTATTTGTCTACAGACGATGATGAAGAACATCATCAGAATAATCAATCACAGTCTTCCAGACAACAGGAACAACCACTTCAGTTACCCTTTTTTGTTGTTGATGATTTTGATACCCAACTTCAAATTGATCCTGCAGATAATTCAAATGTATTGGATTTATTTAAAGAAGATGATTTCCTTTTAGCTGCAGATTGGTCTAATGCCCTAAGTCAAAATTCTTTTTTATAAGTTTAACACATATTGTAGATACGCTTCCCCCTCTCTCTTCTAATATAAGTCCTCTCTCTCTCTCTATTATACATATTATACAAACATTTTATATGTGTTTTATATGAAAATAATCTTATGAATAAATAAGTTATATATCCCTTTTTGTTTTGCAATTTATTTACTGCTTTATTACTGTATGTTTGTGTTGTCATTTACATAGTTTAAGCAAGAGGACTGATGAGCCTATGAAGGAATTAAGATAACCATTATACATATATTCATCTTTCTTACTTGAGAATAGAAGGTCTGGGGTTACTACGAGAAATACCAAGATAGATAACAAAAGGAATAAAACCCCAATGAATAACAGTTTTTGTGATATCAGCAACCTGTTGTGTCATTGTTACTCATTATGCGGATCAACATGGTATTATTATTTTTTTACCTTGTAAAGTGTATCTTTGGTAGAATCGTTCATATTATAAATTGTAGAGAAAGAAAATTTTCACTGAAACCCTGCAAAAGGATATTTATTAGTTCAAACGCTATGTGCACACCATCGGTCGGATCATAAAAAAAGGGAAACAGAAAAATAAGAGAGAGTAAGAGGAAGTGTAAAGAGCAAGAAAGCAGTGATGACACAAGCCATAGCAAATGACACGTGAAGAGCGTTTCATGTAATATTTTTTTTATCCTTTTTTTTCTCTATCTCTCTTCCCTCTCCTTTTCTCTCTTTTTTTTCCTTTTCTTTTTTTTTTATTTATTATTCTTCAATAATGAGTCAAGCGATGTCTATTACACAGTTGTGTAATAATGATGAAAACAATAAAAATCAAACAGAGAAAAAGAGTAAAAGAAACAATGAGTAATAAAATATTAGTTATTCATCTTTCGCCCATATTAGTTCCATTACCAGCTATGGAGCCAATCCCATCCCAACCTCATTTTATACGTCGATTACCCCTTATTGATAGTGCACTTAAAGCATACGAGAATTCTATAGTAAAATATGGCGCAGACATGATTGATACTTATGCTGTTAGTCCCATCTACGACAAATTGGGTTATAGTCATAAATCACAAGTAAGAATGATAATAACACATTTGCTATTATTGATTCTCTTTTTGAAAGGAAGACGAAGACACCATAGCTGCAACTACTGCCCTTGCTCGAACATCCTTACAAGATACAGAAGTAACACACAGGCACAAAAGGATAGAAGATACACGTGAAGATCGTAAGTTTTATATTTACATATAAAGAAGCTCATGTTTATGATCATTAATATAGGCAAAAAACAAAGACCTTCAACTTCACCACATCCTTACTCTATCCAGAGAAGACCTCGTTGGCAACAGATCGTACTTCATGCAGGTTCAGCTGCAGGTACGACAGCAGCTGTAATTAGTGAAGAAAGTATGAAGTGTTTAAAATACTGTCTTAGTTGGTTACAGTACGCTGTGCAACATATAGAACAGCAAATGACCCTCCTTCGCCAATTCCTTGTATCTTTGGCAACCAACCAACAGCAACAACAACAAAAACAAGTAACCCAAGGTGCATCAGATACAACATTAAATAACATCAAGAAAGAGATTGTCGACACACTGCGTAAAGTGGTTGAAGTGGTCAGTAGATATGCAGGCAAAGGTCTACCAGAACAAGCCAAATTGACTGTACGTTCTTTTATCCTCGAATTGCCCTCTAGATGGGCCATGGTCAATCAACAGGCATTAGACGAGGTAGATACACCATTGCATGTCACTTCTATTAAATTACTCGATTTCAGTGGTGAATCTATCAGAATGCTTAAATCTGTTTCTCTTGTCTTTTCAGATACAGTCGAACGAGCAGAACTTTGGTTGAAACGATTAAAGGCGGTTGGAGGTACAACAGGTCACTAGTCTATTCAGTGTCCGATAGCTGCCCCACATATTTAAAGTGAGAATGTTCCATTACTAAATAAATTTCATTTTACCCAAAAATGAATGGCTCTTCAAAAACAATGGTTCCTAATTGGATTCAAATCGATACAAGCTGAGTTATCCATGTTATCATCCAGTACTTAAATATAATTTCTAGAGTTGAATCTATTGTTACTATAAGATCTGCTCACCTTAATCAAATGCTGTCAACTCAGTTTAAACAACTCAGCTTGATAAGTTATAGATCGTGCTATCATCTCTTTTTTTCTCTTTATTTTATTCTGAATAAAAATACACACAGTCTCATCGTACTTTTACTTTGTCTGATTCTATTACAAAACTAAATGCAACAACCACAAACACAGCTGAGCCAACAAGATCAACAAGACAAGCAACTGTAACGCCTTCTGAAAAAGACAGAGTTTGGATGGTCTCATAACCGATTATCTTCCTTTTATCATTTGTTGCTAGTTTAAAAACGTGAATGAAAAATGCGCTCGTGATTTACATCTGCCACTTGTGTCAGAAAGAATCGTCTTCCTCGCGCAGACTACGTGATCACATTTTAGGAATCCACGGTATGTGCTTTTTGTTTCATTGAAATGTATTTTATAAAAGGCAAACACTTGGTGCACTTGAAAATACACTCAAAAATAGGCTAATACTACGGGCGCTTCCTTGGGGTACTCCATGTGACATTGCTTTACAACTTTACACTACCAAAGTCTCTGCCTAACCTAAGGCTGTTCAGTTCACTCTCTCTGATATAAAATACGATTTTATCACAATTACACGTGATTGATCTGGGGTCTTTGTTGATAGACTGACAGCATAAAATTAGAACAAAAAAATAATAATATTTCTTTTTTATCTCTTTGTTCTTCTTCTTGAAAAGAAGCACAAACCAATGTGGGTACTTTACAAAAGTCATGTTTGGCTTGATACTACACATTGGAAAGCTTTGTTAGGCGACATCATAGGTAGTGTACGTAGTATTAGTCTATTTTTGAGTGTACCAAGGTTCTCACAGGACAGTCATCTTCTTTTGCTTGCTCTGCTGTTCCAATTTTGATTGTCTTCCATTGGCTTTCTTTTGACTCTCTTGATGTTAAGGATACCCCAAGTAGCTGTCTGTCTTCCGACCAGGAAAAATTAGTCACCAGCACACAGGAATTACTTTGTTTTTTCTTAAAACACTATTGAATCAGACAAGTTCTTAACCCAGTAGATACAGATCCGTTACCTGTTTGCAAATTACTAAACTGAAAAAAAAAAACACCTTTCCTTTTCATGATATATGCTCTTTTATGCACTAATTATCTTTTTTTTTTGTTTGATATACTTTTTGTATTGATTGCGAAGTGCATTTGCACTTTTATAATGAAAAAAGTTTAATTCAATGCCTTTGGAATAGCACGCCAACCAATTCACTCGCTTAAATCCTTTTTGTTTCCTGGTTTTCACATAATCATCCACAAACATCATACTGCGTTCGTATGGAGTGACATCCATATTAGTATACTTTCTTTTTATTGAGTTATTTTGTGGTTATAAAGCCTTGATGGCTTTGGCGGCTACTTCTGATGATGGATTTTTTAATTAGTTCCAATGTTATTGTGTGCTTGTTACTTTGGGTTTCCAGAACTTGCTCCAGTATATCACCAATATATTGATCTCCGAGCCGAATTTGATGTTTTTTTTAAGGTCAAGATGTACAGAAATTGAATAGTATAATCATCTGCGTAAAGTGTATCATTTATCGTAACTGCCCGGCTAGTCAGAAATAAATTAAGAGCGACGAAAGGGTCCACAGGTATGGTATCAATGCTCTCTTGGATACATGCTTTAGACACAATCAGGCAACGAGAGGCCCAACCTGTTGAAGGAAAGTCATTGCATGAAGGAATGTTGCTGCTCTTTACGTTTTTGGCAACGTAATCGGATAAGGCATCGGTGCATACGATGGGAACAATAGGGTCCAAGTTATATCTTTTAAAAGCCTCAAGGCTGTAATTTATGAATCTCTTTATAAATAAGCTGTTAATCGTATGTTGTATTTCTATAATTATAGGAGGATGACTCATTACTGATGACTTTGCTTCTAGGACAACATATGAGCGAGTGCCATTATCCCATTCTGGGTTCACAGTTACATAATCGTTTTGCACATTTAACAATGCAGTTGTTATAATGTTAATTACGTTAGGATCATTGATGATAGCCTTCGGCATCAAATCTGAACCTGGGCACATTGCTTTTGGAAGGGAAATGTTACATGTACCAGAAAATACACCAAAAGTTAGACTAATACTACGGGCGCTACCTCTATCCATTACTTATAATATCACTCAACAAAAACCTTTGAATGTATGGTGCCGCACTAAGCATGGCTTTATAAAGCTGCCGTCTTGGTTTGTCTCTTTTCAAGGAGAAGAAAGAAATAAAAGAGTTTTTATTCTAGTTTCATGTTGTCAGTTTGATCAACAAAAAACCAAGGTAATTCATGTGTAATTATGATAAATTCGTACTTTATACCAAAGAGAATGAACTAGACAGCCTTAGGTTAGACAGAGGCTTTGATAGTGTGAAATTGTAAGATGATGAATGTTTTCGTGCATGCAGTGTTTCTTATTGGAATGGCGCAGAAGTTTTCATGACCGCTCGCTAAGTTAGGAGACTTTAAAATTTAAACTGAAGAAAAATAAGCTAGCTCAATGTCAGAGACACCAATTGTTATCTTTTGGATATCTACATGACCCTGGCTTTTCACAAAAGATAGAAATTCAGTAATAGGTCTTGCAGAGTGACCCTTTGTAAAAAAAAGCAGCTGGGCAACCTGTGCCTGTAAGTGAATGTCTCACTACAATGATGTATAAAAGGTAACGGTCAATATTTATTGTCTTTTGTGTAGCATCTAAACAGAAGTAAGGGGAATTTAGGAGAGGATTCTTCTGCCATGGAGACATAAATCCAAAGGTGTAGCAACTATTTAACAAGTATGGACAGCTGTCAACGGGTGGCAGTGTTCTGTGAATAAAGCCTAGAGACTTGATGGATAGATATGGTGCATGTCACTTATAACCTGTTTAAGATATTCGAAATTTTTTAAAAGTTTATAGCGGCATCTAGGATCAATATTTTTAAAAACTAAATGACTACGTTTCATAGAGAAAGAGTTAATAAATAAAACGTAGCGCTCAGTTTTTTAATAGCTTTGCTATAAGTAAAGTTATTATGGTTTCTATTTATAAATACACTGATCCGGTTTATCTCTCTGTCACCTATTAAAGAAACAATAAAGTCAAGGTCCTAATATACAATGAGATCAATTCATTATTTTTTCATATGATTTTTATTACTATCATTCATCCGTGAGAAGCTTTTGCACTACAGAGAGAACAAATCTTTCATTTGATTGGACGACTATGCGTCTGTCATTCAATGCCCTTTTGTAAGTCTAATTTTTAAAAATTTGATTGGCTTTATACAGCTATATTTTTTCTTTCTTATTCAAATGAAATGAAAGAAGCCTCTGATGTCATAACTGTATTACCTCTCAAACATAAAGCAGGTGGCCATGTTGCCATGTTTCGTTTATCAAATGGACCTATATGTAAAGCCATTAAAACAAATGAAGATGCTTTTTACAGGGATTTATTAAGACATGGAAGGTTAAAAAGATTTCTACCTAGATATCTTGGCATCATTCATGTCGATTATTGTAACGGATATCCTGAAATACCCCTCGAAAGTGATCGAAAAAGACTTTGTCAATTTCAACAACATTCCCACATTGATCAACCGAGTGAAGTCAAAGTGGGTGAAGAGTTTATGGTCATGGATGATCTGACGTTTGGATTGAGCAAACCGTGTATTCTCGACTTGAAAATGGGAACAAGGCAACATGGTGTCTACGTCTCTCCAGAAAAGATGGCTACTCAAAAGTTTAAATGTGAACAATCGACAAGTGGACAGTTGGGTGTGCGTGTGTGTGGTATGCAGGTAAGTATCATGGTAGTTCATTATCTTTACTTACTTTTGTAGGTCTACCAAGTGAACACAGGACACTACGACATTCAAGATAAATACACTGGACGTACACTAAATGAAGAATCGTTTAAAGATACAATAAGACACTTTTTATTTAATGGCAATCGATTCATAATTGAATTTATACCTATTCTTTTAAGCAAATTACATGGTTTATATAATGAAATTAAGAAAATGATTGGTTATCGATTTTATGGAGCTAGTTTACTGATTGTATATGATGGATTAGACTTGAGTAAAGGCATTAAAATGAAGTTAATTGATTTTACACACTGTATAACAAGAAAAGAAATAATTGAAAATTATCATGTCATGACCTACCCGCCTGAAAAGGGCTCTTATAGTCCTGATGATGGCTTTCTTCAAGGCATAAGTTCTCTCATAGATACACTATCTTTTATCTATGATGAACAACAAGAAAAATAAAAACTTTTTATTATCATTATTCGTCTCTTAACCTTAATCCTTTACGTATATCGTCTGTCAATGGTAAATCCTTTTCGCAACGATCACATTGACATTTAAATAAATATGACTTATCCAAGTAGGTCTGTCTTGTTTCCTTATTCCATCTTGGATTTACATATGTCTCATACAGTTGCTCTCCTTGTTTGATATCTCTAATCGCTCTCACTGCAATCTTGTACTGTGACTTGGCCTGAGGATGATCAATACTGACATTTGGATAACAGTTATGATTGATATGTGAATGCACTAGATAGAGACCACCATTTTGATTATTGATGTTGAATTTACCCATATAATTCAAAAATGTCTTTTCATCATCAAACAGTTGAGCCTTGAGTGTATCTGGCAGGGCTTTGGTGATCTTGCACTTGGCTGGTGGTTCCTTGTACGCCTTGGAAAGGAAATCGCGTGCCTTGACCCAGAGCTCGCGTGTGGGATGTTCCATAAAGATCCACTCGGTCTCTTTTGCCTGACGTTCTTCCTGACTGACAGTCGCAAAGGCATCGAGGTGACCCAAGACCTCATTCAACTCGTCTCGCTGGTGTGCCAAGATCATACGAGCATAGATACGAGCAATCGCCATAGGTGCCTGCCAATTTTCGCCCTCACAAAAGTTCATCAACTTTGTCACAGCTGGATTTAATCGAGTACATTCTAACTGGTGAAACTGTTCCCAGGCAGTGGATCGACATTGTTTGCTGCAGTAATACATATCACAATACTTGCAGTGTTGTGTCAATCGATTGGCATATAGGATCGGCTTACAGCATAGACCACAGGCGTTACCAGAACGAGCCAAGGCAAAGAGTTCCCAGGGTGGAAAGTACACAAAGGGTTCTTCTGTAAACAATATTTCGTCCCTTTTGATATCGCGTGCTGCAAACAGTCCCTTGCCTGTGACTGGATCAACCATGCGTGCCTGCACACAGTCAGACACAGACTTGAAGTCCAAACGAGGATCGATATATGACACTGGCACAGAGGGGTCGTCAGCAAGTCCACTCTTGACTGGCTGAGTCGTCTGGGTGAGTCCACACTGCTGCATATGCTTCTTCACTCGCTTTTCTGATACTTGCCAGCTGGGTTGTTGTTCAAGCACAAGCGTCGTCACTTTCTTGATACCGGCCTCAGGTGTCTCGAGCTTGATCTTTTGAATGGCCTCCACAAGTGCTTCTTCACTAGGAATGATCTTGTCTGTCATTGTGTCAATATATATAGAAAAAAGGGAAATTTTCAATCAAGGGGCGGAGAGAAAAAGTTTAAGCTTGGACATAAGCCACAGGTTTAACAGATGAAGGGGGGAGATTTATTTATGCTCATATTTACATATTTATATTGGGGCTCATGATGTCGTTGAACGCTTAAACTGAGAATATTCCTTTGCTTTGTTTTCTATTAATGTATATAGAAACCTTCTAAAAGTCAACAGTTCTTTCTTTTGGTTCTCTACAAATTCTTCTACTGCAACCTACAAATATATCTAAGTACATGGCCTAGATAAACATTCACATAGACACCTACCGTGCTCTTGGTAGTAAAGATAGAATCCCACATTTTCGTCTTGTATTTGTAAAAGTTGTATATACTATGCAGACAAAAGACACCACAGTCATAATGATTATCCTGTTGTGGGCACTGAATAGACATAAACTCCGGTGGTATAAACTCGGGTTCAAGCACGTCTAGTTTTCGGGCTGCTTCCTTTTTTAAATACTCGACGACATATCTTCGTACATGTCGTTGTGGTCCACCCAAGGAATCCATAGTCATGATATAGGGTCTAAATAATATGAGTAACAGTAGAACTACACGGTGCACTTACTTTGTACGGTCCAGCCGGTCCTTACTCGACTTTGTTCGCAATTCATCTTGATCTATACGTTTTCCTTGACCAATCGATGCACCTGGGTTGACAACCAAGATGATGAACCAATGACTATGCTCTGCAACGGGTATAATTAAGAGATCTTTGTCAAATATGTTTGCATTCTGCGTCCAGCGAGATAGTTTTTCAAAGTGTTCGGTTGTTTTGCAGTCAGCTAGTTTTGTATAAAAGAAGGAATTGAAAGTGTAGATGCCGTCATCAGGATACTGATCTGCCCAGACTCTAGGGTAAAAGTCAATGATTGTATCGTTCAGGAACCGGTCCTTTGCCAGCCGCTGCAGATCGTCCCAATAGACCGTGATCTGCCCAGAACCAACAAAGGGGTACATGAGCATATGCTTGTCCCGGCCATAAAATGCAAAGTCTCGTTTGGTCAACTCATTGTTGTCTTCCACATCAATCTCCACGGATGCCTTATCTTCTGCCGCACTGCTGCTTCTTGTCTTGCGTTTGGGTAATTCTTTTTTGTCAAGCAGAGGTTGTTCTTTGCTTTTCTTGGGGGTATATGACTTTTGTTTTTGATCCTCTATATATTCATCTGGTAATTCATCTACTTCGACTTCTTCCTCCATCTTGAGCTTGTAGCTTTTTCTGGGTCGCTTGATCAGAACGATCACGTCGTCTGGTTGAATGCTCGATGCTTTACGTTTTGCTGTTGAGGTTGAGTCAGGCGACGGTGAGCTTTTGTCGTCATCGCTATAATCTAAATCAATGTCAATATAATGACGTTTGGTGTTGCTATTACTAGATGACGGTGTCTATCATATATAAAGGTCAGAATAAAACAATGAATTGCACATGTCTGCGTTACAAATAAATGGCTCATATAACTGCCCAACGATTTCAGCTTTTCTTTCATCTTATTTCCCGTAGGCTTGACCAGCTTTGATCCTCCATATTTGGGTTCTTCTGATAACTCATCGTGATAGTCCTGGAAATATATAAATGATCAATACGAATAAGATCAACAAAGATATAAAGTGCGTACCTTTTCTCTTGTGCGATAAGAAGAACTGTCTAGAATAGATTTCATAAATTCGTCTTCCTCTTGTTGTGTTCTTGTTGATTCACGCGCAGTGTGCATACTTTTGATTCGTTTAGTTGTTGACATGTCTGGGTCAATCGGGTTCAATACGCCTCTCCTTGGCCTTTTACTGAACGTATGCTTTATTCTTGGAGACGCAGGACGAGTCTGCATAATGAAGAAATGAACAAGATGGGAAATAAAAAGAGGGAGATGATTAACTTACACCAGAAGGTATTTCAATAGGTACTCCAATACGAGTTGACTTTTTATCAAACTAGACATAACTAAGTTATATTTTATGTCTATCTCTTTTTATATATAACTTACAGCTTTTCTCATATGATAAGGAGACAGAGAATTCAAAAAATATAAAAAGAGAGGTAAAAAAGTATGTTTGAAAAGGGTCAACCCCGATAAGAATTATTCGGCTCGCGAAATGATCAGGGATGACCGGACTTTTCTCGACTAAGCAAGCAAGCAATGAAAGGTATATCTCCTCAAGGGGATTTGATTTTATATTTGATATTGTAGAGTCGATCCATGTTGAATGAATGCTGTGTAAAAAAAAAAAAAAAAAAGAAAAGTCTTTGAAAGCTTTACTTCAATACCCAAAAGCATGGCTTAGGGTCAATGCTTGATCTTTAATAAATCTCAGTCTACTATCAACTTGTATTGTCCATCTTTTAAGTAGCTGTCATTCGTTCTTATTTCTGTTCACTCTTTTTGTAGATTGTCAGTTCTCAAACAATTGTCTCTCTTTTTGTTCGAAACATAAAGTGACATCAAAATGCACCTTTATTTCAATGTATGTTTTGATTCAAAAGAAAAGCAGACAATGAAACAAAGACACTTTCAACATGTGAATGGCGTGCTTTTTCGATAAGTGATGCATAAAATGTTTGGAAGCAACGCTCAATATTTCTAAAACAAGTGAATAACGATCAAATTTGGAAATTTGTTCGAAAAATGTAAAATGAAGAAATGAAAAGAGAAAATGGCGGAATCTTTTATTTGTCACAATAATCAATACGTTTCTCTGGTAATCATCTTTTTCATATACTTATTACCATGGAAACATAGCCTTGTAAACCTTTCATAAAAAAGGTTCCTCTTTTTATAAACTGAATCTGATAAACTATATGATTCTCTCTTGACAGCAGAAAAGAAAAAGGGCTTGGTCGTTACACAGGACAACGGCGAGCGACATTATTGCATAACCTAAGCAACATTAGCTCAATTGACGTAATGCAGAAATAAATACCTAATGATCAAAGGGGGATATTAGGAATAAGCATTGTTAATTACTCAATATTGAGTATTATTCTGGAATAGTAACATCATATTTTTCAGGAATTATGTTGATCCCTTCCTTAATACAGGGTATGATTCATATATGGAAGCTATGGACTACTTTTACAATGTAAAAAATGAAGTTTTGGCTTCAAATTGAACAAAAGCCTTTCTATACTGTAATACTCTAGTCGTCTTTAATCCTTATCTATTTCTACTAATGAGGCAGCCCTAACTTAGGTTTAAAAGATACGTGGATAGCATCAGTATAAGACGTTGTGATTAGGAGCCTATGATGAAAATAACGGATGAAATGCGTAAAACATTATAACTATCAAAACAACAGTGGTTATCATAAAATGTCAATGGCTCAGCATGTCTATTTTGTTTACATTCTAATGAGTATTGATCTTTGTAAAGACAGGTGGGCATATCATCCATATCAAAGCGGCGTTAAAGCAGTGTTTTCATTTAACTTAAATAACCATTTATTTGTATCTTATGTCGCTGGATCATGCGTGAAATGACTTTTTCTATTTCCAATAAGTGTCAGGAGTGATCATATTATTTACATGTTACGCAATTCCTTTACAAAAATACGTATTAACATTTTCTAATTGTACATGAGGCTCATCTGGGTATTGTAACATAGCGTGCTGGAAACTAGGTTTCCATGGCATATATTCTTATATGAAAGGTAGCTTTGAAGGGGAATTATTTGCCATGACAACCAGAGAGGAGTTATCTCTCAAATAAACAATACATAGAGCGTGTAGTTAGCATTAAACTTCACACGCTTTCTGTACCACCAATTCTAATTTGATTTTTTGTTGATCGCAATAAGATATAGAAATGTCGCAATCGGATGGCGCAATTGTATTTATTCTATTTCAAATTCAGTTTTTTTGGGCTTTCTTTTTTATTCTCTCTCTCTCTCTATTGACAACAAAAAATGAACTCACCTCCAACACAATTACTACCACCCATTTCAATGTTCACCACGGGCCTTGCTTCTCCTCCTACAACTGCATTTGATCCAAAAAAAGCAATGCCCATATTACCCAAGCCTTATGAAGACCATTTATTTCCATACCCTGCTGAGTTAAGAAGAAGATCAGATCCAGCCCAAGACAGCCAGAAGAGAGTGATGACCTCTGAAGAGGTATTAGCAGAAAAAAGACGAAGAAATGCAGGCGCATCTGCACGATTTCGTGATCGTCGTAAGCAGAGAGAGCGTGAATTACAGGAACGATGCCAGGGTTTGGAAAAGAGGACACAGGAATTGGAAGACGCATTACGATTTGTCTGTCCTGATCATCCCTTGTTAATAAATGCAAACCTAAATTCACCATCCGAAACATCGTCATCCTCATCATCACCGTCAACACCATCCGCATCGGTAGATATTCTTGGTCGCATCAATCAGTTGGAGCAATTTATAACTCGATTTAGAGTCGAAAAGCAAACAGACGCAAAGAAACTAGAGGAATTAGAAAATGAGGCAAGTATACAAACTTCGTTTATATACATGCCCACTAACATTAAATAGAACAAGTTTTTGAAATCTGTATTAACAACTCTAACAAGTAAAAATGATTCACAAGAACAACAACAGCAATCTGCTCCAAATTCTCCTTCATCTGATGTTTAAGCATAATACAAACACGCACATTCCCTTGCATTTTCATTATACACACATTTTCATTCTATTACATTTTGATTAAATAATAATAAAAGAGATTGTTTATTAAACTTAAAATAACATATTGTCATGTATATACACATAAACAAATTCAATTCAATCTTTTTAACAAAAGATGCAATGCAAATAAAAGTTACAGTTATGTATAATAAAGAAAGGGGGGAGGAAAGAATGTATATGTGTGTGTGTGTGTGTGTGTGATAAGTCTAAGTGAACGAATATATAAGCAAAAAGCCCAAACAAAAAAAACAAAAAAGAAAGGAAAGGGGTATCCATTATGTATATATATAGTGATATCATTCAGAGAGGATGCTGTTATGTGTTATCTTCTTCATTCTTTTCTTCTGTAGTGACTGCATTATTATTTGCAGTTGAAATAGATGCTGCAACAGCGGCAGCATAAAAATTAGCCATCATGGCTGCTGTAGACTGAGGTTGTTCTAGTTGCTCTTCATTTCCCATTCCGTTACTGACCGCCACATACTTGGCATGTAAGGCAGCAGCTAAACTGGGACTGATGGTGAACTGAGAAGGTATACCAGCACCCAAGCTCGCACCCGGAACTGAATCGACCATGACCATGTTGATTTCTTCTACAAGTCGCTTGTAGCCTTGTATGTGCTGCAGCTTTAATTTATAAAGCATCTGCTTTACTCTTTCTGCAATGCGCTGCCTTTCTTTTAATTCAATATACGAGCTTGACAGAATTTTTTGTATCAAATTGACACCATGGACTTGATCATGGAGAATCTCTTCAGTCACTTCTGCATATTGTGGTGTAAAGAAGAGAGCATCAAGAATAACCGCTCTTGCATCGGGCTCTTGACGTTGATTGATCAGCTTCAAGACGGTAAGAGAGGCTAATTTGTGTGTACAAAGACGTGCCAAGTGAGGTAATAGTCGAGGTGCAAGCACCCGATAACGCCCGGGAATACCTGACGTGTCCAATAACCAGATCAGTAAAAGCGCCCCGTTTGCATTTGTAGCTAAAAGCAAAGCATGTTGTACAAGCGAAGCAGCAACATATTTCTATTTATGAAAAAAAAAAGGTGTTAGTCTTGTCATATTAAAATGTTTTGCTCTCTTTCTTTTTTTTT